TAAAAGAGGGGGTTTTTTTTTAAAAAAATTTTTTTTTTTTTTTTGGGGGGGGTTTTCCCCGGGGGGGGGGGGGGGGGGGGGGGGGGGGGGGGGGGGGAAAAAAAAAAATATTTTTTTATTTTTTTTTGGGTTTTTTTTTTTTTTTAAAAAATTTAGGGGAAAACAAAATTTTTTTTTTGGAAAAAATTTTTTTTTTTTTTTTTTTATTTTTTTTTTTGGGGAAAAAAACTTTTTTAAAGAAAATTATTTTTATTTGGGGGGGGGGGGGGGGGGGGGGGAAAAAAGGGGTTTTTTATTTTTTTTGTTTTTTTTTTTTTTTTTTTTTTTTTTTTTTTTTTTTTTTGTTTTTTTTTTTTTTTTGGGGGGGGGGTTTTTTTTTTTAAAAAGGTTTTTTGGGTTTTTGGGGGGGGGGGGGGGGGGTTTTGGGGGGGGTTTTTTTTTTTTTTTTTTTTTTTTTTTTTTTTTTGGGAAAAAATTTTTTTTATTAAAAAAAAAAAAAAAGGAAAAAAAAAACAAAGGGGGTTTTTTTTTTTAAAAAAAGGGGGGGGGAAAAAATTTTTTTTTTTTTTTTTTTGTAAAAAAAAAAAAAAAAAAAAAAAAAGTGGGGGGGGGGGGGGGGGGGGGGAAAAAAAAAGAAAAAAAAAAAAAAAAAAAAAAAAAAAAAAAAAAAAAAAGGGGGGGGGGGGGGGGGGGGGGGGGGGTTTTTCCCTTTTTTTAAATTTTTTTTTTTTTTTTTTTTTAAAATTTTTTTTTTTTTTTTTTTTTACCCAAAAAAAAAAATTTTTTTTTTTTTTTTTAAAATTTTTTGCCCTTTTTGAAAAGAGAAGGGGAAAAAAAAAAAACCCCGGGGGGGGGGGGGGAAAAAGTTTTTGGGGGAAAAAAAAAAAAAGGGTTTTAAAAAACCCCAAAAAAAAAAAAAAAAAAAAAAAAAAAAAGGGGGGGGGTTAAAAAAAGGTTTTTTGGGGGTTTAAAACAACCGAGTCATGTTGTTTTCCCAGCCCTTCTGTACAAAAACCCGTGTCTTGTTGTTTCCGTCCTCACTGTACACAACCGAGTCATGTTGTTTCCAGCCCTTTATGTCCCACAACGAGTCATGTTGTTCCCCAGCCCTAAACTGAAACAAACAAAGTCTTGTTGCTTCCAGCCCTTTTACGGGGTCCCAAAACCCGTGTCTTGTTGTTCCCGTCCTCCCTGTTACAAACCGGTCTTGTTGCTTAAAGTCCTCATTTGTAAAAACCCGAGTCGGGTTGCTTCCGGTTTTTTTCCCCACTGTCCAAAAAGAGTCATGTTGCTTCCAGCCCTCACGTCCCACAACCGTGTCTTTTTTGCTTCCGGGGTTCCTCCTTTTCCCAAAAACCGTGTCATGTTGCTTCCAGCCCCAAAACGTCCAACAGCCGTTGCTTGTTCCCTTCCAGTCCTCACTGTCACAACCGTGTCTTGTTGTTTTCCCAGCCCTCACTGTAACAACCGTTGTCATGTTGCCCCAGCCCTCCTGTACAAAACCCGGTGTCTGTTGCTTTCCAGTCCCCCGGTACAAAAACCGTGTTTGTTGTTTCCCAGTCCCCCTTTGTACAAAACCCCAAAGTAATGGGGTTTCCCAGTCTAAATGTTCACAACCGTGTCTTGGTTGTTTTCCAGCCCTTTAAAGGTAAACTACCGGGGTTTTGTTGTTCCAGCCCTTAAATGTACAAAACCGTGTAATGTTGTTTCCCAGTCCTAAATTTTTACACAAACCTTGTCTTGTTGCTTCCGGGTCCTCCTGTGCAAAACCCGTGTCTTTTTGGTTCCCCAGTCCTCACTGAACACAACCGTGTTTGTTGCTTCCAGCCCTCACTGTACAAAAAACGTGTCATTTTGGGTTTTTCCCCGTCCTCACTGTACACAACCGGGTCTTTTTGTTTCCAGTCCTAACGGTACAAAAACCTTTTGTTGTTGTTCCGTCCCTCACTGTCCCAAAACCGTTTTATTGAAAAGAAATGCATCTTCCTTCCCCCAAAGTTTTGGTCTTTTTGGTGTATTATTTGTAAAAAAATTTCTCGAGTGGTATTATGCAAAATTAAAAGCAGACATATCTGTGCCCCGGAAAAAAAGGAAAGAGGAATTTGGGGGGAGTACCCATGAAGCAAGTGCAGAAAAACCCCTTTATTTGGCTTTGGTTTACATGGTCAAAAATTTATGCATACCCAAAAGGTGGGAGGTTTCCCTCATTTTTAAAGGGTGACAACATTCACCTTATTGCAACCCGTGCACATCCTTTTAAATTTACCATAGGTTTAGGTAAAAAAAATATATAGTGATCCCTTTGGGGACCCCTATTTCTTTCAAAAAGGGTTTTCACGTGAAGAACTTTTCTGTTTAACTAGATAAATTCTGTTTTTTGGTAATTGCAAGTGTTAAACCTTGGCATTCACGTCATGTTTCCCCTAAGGTAAAACCCACTTTTGGCACTTAAAAAAAAAGGGCCCAGGTGAATTCCAGAAGAGATTTAATATCAGCCTTTTAGGCGTTTCTTTGGAAAATTGTCTTTTTTAGAAACTGTTTAAAATTTAAAAATTTCTCTAAAATCACGTCTATTTTTTTTCCCCTAATAATTTGGGGAAATTTTACCCCTATCTTCAGTTTTATAAGGGAATAATTAAATAATAAGAAAAGAATCTTTTGATGAGCCCGTGAGTCGGACTTTTCTTACCCGGGAGAAGAGGAAAAAAATTTTTTCATTTACTTAAAATTTTTTAAAAAATTCCAGTGGCCAAAAACAAAAACCCTTTCTTGTTTTAAAAAATGTCCTTTTTAAAAAACCCTTTTTTACCTTTTTTTGGGGGAAAAATCTTTGGCAGCTGTTCCATCATAAAAAAATCCCTTTACCCTTTGAGCACTAAGTTTTTAATGATAAACTTTAAAAGGGTTTAAATTTCATTTCTGCATCGTGCGGAATAAGGGTTTACTTTTAAAAAGGGCTGTTTCCCCCTGGCCAGACCTCCTTTAATAATGATAAAGAGCCATGAACTTAAAGTCGT